ATTCCCTCTCCCGACTTCCATCCCCTGACATCCCTTGTCCTCCCACACACATCGTGGCCTACACATGTCCCTCCTCCCTTCCCTCCCAGCCAAACAGTCCCACTTTGCCCATCTTCCCCCTGGTAACATCTGTTCCCCACTATCCCCCTCCAAGATTCTTTCTTTTCCTTTACCTCCACATATCCTTTGTCTTTACCTGGCCACTGGTGTTACATCAGAATGTATATACTCACAAATAAGGGATTGGTGCTACAATCCACAAATGAGGGACAACATATGTCACTTGGTTTTTGGCCTTTTTGTTACTTAACTTAGTATAATACTCTCTAGTTCCATCCATTTACCTGAAAATTTCATAATTTCGTCTTTTCTTACTGCTGAGTAGAACTCCACTGTGCACATATACCACATTTTCATCATCCACTCATCAGTTCAGGGGCATTTCATTTCTTTCCATTTGTTAGCTATTGTGAGGAGAACAGCAGCAAACATGGATGGATGTCCAGTATCTCTACAATAGGATGAGTCCTTTGGGTATATGCCAAGGATCAGTATAATATGGTAGATTCATTTTTAGTTTTTTGAGAGTTCTCCACACTGCTTTCAATAGTGGTTGCATGAGTTTGCATTCCCACCGGCAGTGAATGGGAATTCCCCTTTCTCTACATCCTCTCTATCATTTCATGTCTTTTGTTCTCTTGATCTTAGCCAGTCTGACTGAAGTAAGAGAATCTTAAAGGGGTTTTTAATCTGTATTTCTCTAATTACTAAATATGTTGAGCACTTTTTAAGATACTTTTTAGCCATTTTTATTTCTTCATTTGAGAACTCTTTGTTCAGGTCAATAGCCCATCTTTACATTGGCTCATATTTTCTTGTTTGGTTGTTTTTTGAGTTTTTTATATATTTTTTAATATATTCTTGATATTAATCCTCTGCCAGATGTGTAGTTAGTAAATATTTTCTCCCACTCGTTGGGTTTCCTCTTCTATTCCTTGGTTGTTTATTTTGCTGTACAGAAGCTTTGTAGCTTTAATGAGGTCCCACTTACTGTTTGTTGACCTAAATGCCTGAGCAGCTAATGTTGATTTAGAAAGTTCTTTCCTATGACTATATCTTGGATGGTACTTTTTGACCTTAATGCCTGAGCAGCTAATGTTGGTTTAGAAACTTCTTTCCTATGACTATATCTTGGATGGTACTGCCTATGTTTCTTCTAGAAGTTTCAGAGTTTCAGATTTATATTTAGGTCTTTGATCCATTTGGAGTTGACTTTTGTGCAGGGTGAAAGATAAGGGTCAAGTTTCATTCTTCTATAGGTGGAAATCCAGTTTTGCCAGCACCATTTGTTGAAGATGCTGTCTTTCCTCTATTATGTGTTCTTGGCACCTATGTCAAACATCAGGTGGCTAAAATTGCATGTACTCATATTTGGATCTTCTATTGTGTTCCATTGATCTATGTGTCTATTTTTGTACCAATACCATGCTGTTTTTATGACTTAAAACTCTGTAATATAATCTGAGGTCTGGTATGGTGATCCCCTAGTGTTGTTCTTTTTGCCCAAGATTGCATTGCCTGTACAGGGTCTTTTGTGATTCCATATGAATTTTAGGATGATTTTTCTAGCTCTGTGAAGAATGTCATGGGTATTTTGATTGGCATTGCATTGAGTCTGTAAATTGCTTTTGGTAAGATGGTCATGTTCACAGTTTGATTCTACCAATCCATAAGCATGGAAGGTCTTTTGTCTCCTAGTCTCTTTCTCTATCTCTTTCTTTAATGATGTAAAATTTTCATTGTAGAGAAACTTAAGGTCTTTGGTTAGGTTTATTCCTAATTTTTTTATGTTATTATGACTCTGAATGTTTCCTTGATGCTTTTTCTGATTGCTTGTTATTGGTATATAGAAAGGCTAGTGAAATTAATTTAGAGTTCTAAGTGATGTGTTTTTCATAAGTGTCAAGGACATGAGTGGAGGCTACTATTGGACTTCCCAAAAAGTTTACAAAAGAATATGGCACTTTGGCATTACAAGGTGACTTCTGTACTTTTCCCTCAGTCTGTACATATGCAAAACATATTTGTGAATCTGTGTTTCCCTTCAACAGATTTTTTTCTCTACATACTTATTGAATTTTTGTATATTTCATACAGAACATCCTAATCAATCTTAATCATCTTTATACCCCCTTCCCCACTGGCACACTCCCATAGCTTCCCCCACTATAATTCATACATTCTGTCACTTTTCTTTAAGAAATGGACTGCTGGCTGGGCATGGTGGTGCATGCCTTTAATCCCAGCACTCAGGAGGTCAGAAGCAGGTGGATCCCTGTGAGTTCAAGGCCAGCCTGGTCTACTTAGTGAATTCCAGGTGAGCTGGGGCTCTCAAAAAAAAAAAAAAAAGACAAAGAAAGGAATGGACTGCTAGGCTTCCACCAGATTTTTTAATCTCTAGCTCTTATGGAGAATCAGTTCATTTTCATACCTAGATTTTCATGAGGTAAATTCTGAATATTGTCAGATTCCAATAAAATACATAGATATAATTTCTTTTTACAGAGACCTGAGCATAAAAGTCCATCAAAGCGGCATTCTGGTTCCCGTACAAGAACTTCACCTTGCTCATCTAATGATGATTGTTTGTGTCACCAAGTCAACAACATCAACCGTGCCTTCTTAGCATATACCCAAATGTTATTAGATCAGCAGAAGCAAACGCTGACATATCTGACTATCATGAAAAGTCAGTTGGCTAACCTGCAACATTTCTTATATATCAGGTGCTTAAATGAACACTTGAATGCTACACACGAAGAGCCTCTCCACAGGGCCAAATAGATGTCCTAAGAGAGGACCCAAGAACCAATGACACTGAAAACAACAATTAAAGTCCCTTCGTGGATTCAATTCATTATGTTTCTGCAAATGAGTTATTATTTACAGGGGAGAAGTACCAAATCAGATACAAATTCCAGACACTTATTGCTTTGCTTACATTTTATTTAAAGAATCAATTACATGTATAGGCTAATGTATACTTTACAGGGAAAGGATTTAAAAACACAATGCAGAAAAAGAAAGCCAGTTCAGAATTTTGATTTCTTTCCACAATTAACTAGAGCTAAAAGTTTATAACTGGGATATTATCAATCACAACTTCATTCAAATTTGGCAACTAGTTTTATCTAATGGATTAGAGTATAATACTGCAATTATCTACAAGTTTGCCTCAAATGAGATGAATTACATGTTGTTGTTTTCTATTATGTAGATGTGTTTCTTATCATTGCTAAATCTTGCTCATGACAATAAGATCTATCACTGGGCATGCCTCAGTATCTGTACCCTATAAATTAAGATGTTGATTAAGTTTTGTTTTGCACACTTGAATGTAGTAGTACAAGTCTGTACTCTTTGTGGCAAGCTTTTAAAACAATTGCTTCCTTTTTGTATCTCCACTCTCCCAATTACATGCTTTCATTTAAAAGAAGGCCAAATCATCCCTACAGTCCAAGAATTACCTGTAAAAAATGGCATGCTGCTTTCTACTTGGTGAAAAATCCAATCTTCAAATAGCACCAAAATATCGTGGGAGACTATGCTTAATGTAATGTGAATTAATATTAAGAGAATACACTTTAAGATTCACTCAGTCCCCTATCTCATAATATTCTGTAAATCCAGAGCTTGCTCACAGCATTAGACCTATCCACAAAGAAGACCTTCAAATAAGAAGCACAAGTTCATTTAAATGTAGATTGTTGAGACGGATCACTGATAGACCTTTAAGTGTGCCTTCATGCTACCCCTTTCTCTGAATCACTTACTAAAGAATCACTTAATTAAAGAAATGCCTTAATCCTTTGCTCCTTTGATCTTCAATCAAAAGAAGGAAAAGGACTGCAAGATGTATTAGAAAATTGTCCCCTCTATTGTTACTCCTTGCCAATACAAAATAGCCAGCAGGGTGTAGCTCTTAAAAGTTTTATGAGTCACAGGTCCCTTTGATATTCTCATGAAAACAGCAGACTAATTCTTCCCAAAAATGCAAATCCACATAACACAAAAATGATATGGCTTCAGTGTCATAATTCCCTAAGGCTTAGCATTAAGGTTTATAAAATATTCCTCATATATTTAGGGAGACTTTATCATCCTAAGCTGCCATCTTTAAGCCATCTGTCAAAAATATGCACTAAAACACAAGGTATCATCATTTATATGGAAACCAGGACATGAGACCTTCATTCTTTACAAATTTATCATCAATTATGATATTAATACATTACTGCAAGTAAACAAAATCTTATTCACAGAAGACAAGATTAATATCCCTGACCTTTTAGCCATCTATAACTATCATAAAATTCCATATTTACAGTAATTTTAGCAGTAACAAATAACATTGTCAGTAACATTTTCATATATATTCAATCTACAATTAAACCTAGAATTCATAGAATGTAGTGAGTCATGATTTTATTCTAAACACAACCTAAAGAAAAATAATATAAATGGAAATAAATGTTCAAGGCCTCATTATTTCATTTTCTAGATTTATCCCACTCTAGCCACATAATCCTCATTTTTTAATCTCGTTTCACTCTACATTGAAAACTTGAACCATTGTAAGTAGATGACATACTTAGACACATTTGAATCATAAACATTAAATGACAGTCCTTATATAATACACAGTCCACTTTTCCCTTATACTGGTCACATTTCTCAGGGAGGACC